CCGAGAGACTTCCTGTAATGCTCAACCAGCTGGCCCACTAGGAGGGCAAGAGCCTTGCCTGGTGGTCAGGGCAATAAATTCCTTGGCAAGAATATTTTGATCAGGCAACAACTAGGTGTTAATAGCCTTTCACGTTAGCTAATGGACACTCCTCTGGCCAATGGATACTGTCTTGCCACCGAAAGATCTGCTTGGAGATTAATTTGTATGTCATGTATATGACTGGGAAAGTTATGGTTTTAAATCACGATGTATTCATTCATGGTTATTTATAATACTCAGTGAGAGACCTTGATAAAGGCAATGCTTAGATATTATGCCTGAATCTATCTGGTAGTTTCACTGTTAACAAAGATGTTATACTGAAGCTAATGTGACCAACTAGCCAAGTGAGGTTAACGTAACGAAGAATCACCTTTGATGTCTGGTTGAGGAGGCGATGTGTAGTTTATATACTGGATTACGTCAGTTGAAATTTTGACCTCAAAAGTTGGGTTCACCCAAGTCTGAGTATGGAAAAGAACAAAATAGTCTTCAGTAATAAATACCTACAGAAGTAAACACGTTAAATATGATAAATAAATTAAAAAAAAAGAAATTGTTGTCTCCAAAATATTAGTCTCCTATATCTTTGAATAGTAAAAGGTCTGCTGGTGATTTGAATGTTGACTGGAATTTTAACGTACAAGAAAACGTACCGTTTGCAAGTAACTGTCTTGCTTCGCTGGGACGTAGATTGAGATAATAAGCGCTGTTATAACCGCTAGCGTCGCCACTACCAAGCCTTTAGTAATGACACCCACCAGACAAGATTGGGACACCACACAACTATGACCTGGAAAGCAGCAATAAAGAGAAAAACTGAATTCAAACATTACCATAAGGGCAACTGCATAGTACCATTTGTCTCTACGGACATTTTTATGCTGGTAATTTTCAATAGAAATGACCAAAAATGGACGGTAAGAGGAATTAGTCCTAGAATTTTCCTCACGGAAAGTGAACGGCCTAAGACTAGTGGTTTCAAACTTCTATTATGGTTATCTGCATTATATATATATATATATATATACGCTTCTTCCGATCCCCTTTTCACAAAGCTACCAATAAGCACCATGTTGCCGGAGATAACAAAGGTAGTTATGTAGCTGTGTTATATTAGTTCGGACTAGAAGCTTGTATTTGTGTTAAAGCAAGTGAATTATACTGATGAGATAAATTTTGTTAATGCAACATAGGGTAACAATGTGGTANTATTATATATATATATATATATACGCTTCTTCCGATCCCCTTTTCACAAAGCTACCAATAAGCACCATGTTGCCGGAGATAACAAAGGTAGTTATGTAGCTGTGTTATATTAGTTCGGACTAGAAGCTTGTATTTGTGTTAAAGCAAGTGAATTATACTGATGAGATAAATTTTGTTAATGCAACATAGGGTAACAATGTGGTAACTTTGGTAAATTTGTGGCATCTTACCTCCATCTGCTCTTGGCTGTGCAGCATTTGGAGCGTACATGGGGTTTTGGTGTAACACGTTCCCGATGTACATGGGGTTCCGAAGTAGACCATCCGTCTTACCGGCAACAGACTCTGCAATCAACATTATAAGGACAGAAGTTCCCCAATGTTCAGCAGTGCTACTTTTGACTCGAAGTACCTTTTAACTTAACCCTATCTACACCGGGGGGGGGGGGGCTAAAAATGCCCGCGCCAACTTTGATGTCACATAGCATCTGAACGGCTAGGGCTAGAAAGACCAAACTTGGTGACTTTTCCTAAAATATTGTTGGCAACAAGTTTCTATCATTAGAATAAGATAATGATTTTTTGTGCTGCCATGGCAACGGGTTTCTGACAGGCATTTTTTGCTAAATTTAGTAATTTTTGTTTTAACAATAGAATTTTATGGGTTTTATGTCAAGTTACTCATGGTTTCTAATATTAATAACTGTAATTTTATGTAAATTTTATCATTAAATATGCATAATTTATGCTAATTTGATGACGTCATTGGCCAAAATCCAAGATGGCGGACCATATCATTAGAACAGGTATTCTATTCTATAAGTACTGAGCAAAGCCCTCTCTGGGGCATCTCGCTCAGTTATATACAGGTTATTGTCTTCGTCAGAAGGACTATGAAATTGTCTCGCCGGAGTGTGGGGAACTGCGGATTTTGCAATATAACTCTGGAAGGCATGATTCGACGTCCATGATTTTTGGCAGGCAGATTACCGCTGTTGAGGCCGAAGTCAAGTACAAGTTTCGGCTTCGTGGGGGGTCCGTGCGTCACGTTAGTGCACCTTTTGTGTTTGTGGCTTGTTAGCAAGATAACTCAAGTATTTGTAAAATGTTGATCATAATTCTTTGTGTGGTGCTTACTATTGTCGGGACCAAGGTTAAGTTCGTTACTGAGCTTCGTGGGGTTTTCGTTGTGACTACAGGGGGCATTTTGTTAATTTTTCTTGTGAGCAGGATAACTTTTGTATGTGTGGATGGAAGTTAATGAAATTTGATAGGCATGTTACTGTGGTAGTCTCCAAGATTGAGTTCAAAGATGAGAGTCGTGGAGGTCGTTATGTCCCCGTAATAGGACCTTTTGTGTTTAGAAATCCC